TCTATCAGCTCCTCAATAAATGGCTTGAAAACTTTCAAGACAATTAGTTAACAAGCATAAACCTTTAGTTTGTAGCTAACAGGTATAAACCAAGTTGTCATGAGTTTTCAAATAAGGCGAAACTAATTTCTAAGATGGAAACCCCTCCCAAACTCAAGACAGTATGTTCCTTTTTTACATTTCTCTACCTAAATGGAAGCTATATAAACACACTCTATTGAAGACAAATTATTCTGAAACAATAATCTGTCAAACAATTAAAAGGAGAAAGCTATTCCTTCCAGCAAGCTGAAGGTGGAAATCTTTATCACCAAGCATTTTTCTGCAGTACCCTCAAAAGACTGTTCCGAAGCAAAGTGGCACAAAGCAAGCCGCTGTGAAAATACCTAAAACTTGTAATTGTGGTGGAAGTGCCAGAAAATGGGAGTTCAAAAATCAAAACCAGAACTGAACCACGCACAGAAACCAACGCGGAGACCTCATAGGTGGCAACATAGCTAAGAAGGTATCAGCTGCTAGATCTTGTGACGGCCTTCGGATGCTCACTAGGAAAAAGACAAAAGCAGAGCCGTATCCACCGCACACCGCTGAAGCTCCTTTTCTTGCACCACAGGAGGAACCGAGTCCTCAATCTAATGGCATCTTCTCCCCAAAAACTCAAAGGGGAGGAGCTCTTGATGTTCTAGGGACTGGATTAAACTCCGAGAGATCGGTCTCTGAGTTGCATGCACCAGGACCGAGTGAGGGCGACAAGCAGAAAACGATGTCGTCGTGGCAGTCACGAAGCTTCAGGGGGAAGAGAATAATTTAGTACCTGTCTGCCTTTCCCGAATACTGGCTGAGACCGCCGCCGCCGCCGCCGCCGCCGCCATCTTGGCTCCCAGAAGCGACTGCCGGGCAAGCTTGCAGGAGCTGGGGGATGACGTGGCTGCCCTTATCGCCCCGGAAGCAAAGCGCGGAGAGGCGGGGCCAAAGGAGGTGCCTGAGGGCCAGACCCCACCTCCTCCAGGAAGACCCTCGCTCTCAGTAGAACTGGGAGACTCACTGCAGGTGCCTGAGGGCCAGACCCCACCTCCTCCAGGAAGACCCTCGCTCTCGGTAGAACTGGGAGACTCACTGCAGGTTAATGCCTCGGTAGCCCTAATATTAGCAGAATACTAAGAAATTTTATCCTATCAAATCAAGCCACACCTTCTCAAATGGTAGCTACATTAAATTGAGCTGTGAGCACTTAAGGAGTGATTAATACTCTAGATGAGGACCACAGGACTGAAGTAAATGAAACTCCTGAAACAGGCAACACAACGTTAGCTCTCGTTTCTCAGTGCAGCAGGAGTCTTCCCTTTGCTTTTTCCGGAGAAACGGGGCATTACTCTAATCTGGCATATTTCTCAATCGCATCTCTTAAACAAAATGGCATGGCTTTATGGTGGCGTTCTGCTGGCATGGACACGGGATGCAGGGAAATACAAAATGAGTAATTAGCATTTTTCCTCTTTCCTTGTAGTAATTGCTAAATCACAAAACATTGCTGTGGGAGGGAAGTCAGGCAGTAGTGGGGTGTGTGCTGCCAAGGCTGGAATGCGCAATCAAGACTCACTGCAGCCTCAAATTCCAAGGCTCAAACGATCCTCCTGCTTCAGCCTCCCAAGTAGCCAGGGACTGCAGGGGCACATCATCAGGCCAGGCTAATGTGCTGGTTTTTTGTTTTGAGACAGTGTCTCATTCTGTCGCTCAGGCTTAAGTGCAGTGGCAGAATCTCAGCTCACTGTAGCCTCAACCTTCTGAACTGAGAAGATCCTCCCAAGGTATCCTTCCACATCAGCCTCCCCAGTAGTTGGGCCTACAGGCAGGGGCCACCATGCCCGGCCAAATTTTTCATTTTTTGTAGAGACTGGGTTTCACCATGTTGGCCTGGCTGGTCTTTGCTGGCGGCTTAATGTACGCTTGAAGCCACGTGATGGCAAAATGTATGGGAGAGATTATTTCTAACTTAATCCATACATTTTACTGTATGATAAAAATGGATACACAATGACAGCTCATTTCCCATATGGTTTCAATAGTTCATTGATGACACTTCATTATGAAGTTGCACCAAATTCTGAAATGAAATCAGACTGCCTCAAAAGCTTTTCAAAATTACACAAATGAAGTTAGCCTAACGGTTATATAAAAGATTGTTTTATAGTGTAAAACACTGGCTTTTTTCACTAATAAAAACTTTTGTGTCATTTAAAATAGGTTATCTTATTTTTAACGCTATCAGGAAACGTCCTAGCATTGAACCTACAGTCTTTAAGAATTACATAATCTCTGCCAGGCGCGGTGGCTCACGCCTATAATACCAGCATTTTGGGAGGTGGAGGCAGGCAGATCACCTGAGGTCAGGAGTTTGAGACCAGCATGGCCAACATGGTGAAACTTAAGTCTCTACTAAATATACAAAATTAGCCGAGCATGGTGGTGGGCTCCTGTAATCCCAGCTACTGGAGAGGCTGAGGCAGGGAGAACTTGAACCTGGGAGCTGGAGGATGCAGTGAGCTGAGATTGCGCCATTGCACTCCAGCCTGGGTGACAGGGCAAGATTGTCTAAAAAAATAATAATAAAAAATAATGTAATCTCTCATTTTTATAGCTAACTGGCATATTCATTAAGAAACGAACTGGAATATTTGTGTTTCTCCGGTCTGTTACTAATATTTTGAAGGAATCAATGATCTAGGTGTGTTCCAACTAAACAGAAATTAGTTTCTGCTCTATGGGAAAGTTCTACTGCATTATATAGTCTCCATGAAATATAAAGTATCTGAGAACCCAATTTAGCTCTTTGGGTACTTCTAGTTTCAAATGCGAATCCATCATTGAACCACTTCAGTTCCATCACAGATTCCCTCCCAAGACTATAAGTCATAATAAAACCACTAAGACAATTTTAAAATTGACGTATACTACATGCATATGAAATGATAAAAACTCCTGACCTAGTGCAAAGAATGTGGGCAGTAAATTTACAGAAAAATATACCCCACAGAAGAACAGTAACCGTAGACAAATAGCCCTTGTCCTAAGACTGAGTAAGGTATTTTTGTTTTATTAGAATCAGAAAGACTGAAAATAATCTATGGCTACAGATTGTTCATTAACCTAATTTACTATAGCCATTTATCTGACTCCAGATTTTCAGCTTAAATAATTTATTCTGGCAAGCTATTTTACATTAGGGGATAGTTTTAACACAAATTCCCTCATTTCTATAGGTTCCTGGGTGTTAGACAGTAACGGCTTGCTAACAAGATCTCTCAAATATGGAGTAAAGGAATCTTGTATCTTTCAGTTTCGTCAGAATCTTAATCTTGTTAAATCCCAACAAATAACTTAGTTTATACGGGCAGTTTACCTTTAGTGGCATAAACACATTTATTTATTTAGAAAACTTTGTTATAAATCTCATGCTTTTTGGTTAATCTGGCAGTCTTTAAAAAGGGGGGAAAACAGGCTGACACATAAACTATCACCCAGCATAATACCTGGCATACTGTAGGTACAGTGTAGGTATTGGGATATGTTTAGAAATTAGAGAAGATAATGGTCAAAATCAGAACGTGAAAACTGAATATCTTCAAGGCAATCCAAATTTTCCTAAACGACAATCTACATTCAAGTAATTAATCATTAAATGCGTTATGTTTTGCATTGCCTCACTTGAAGCATGAAACTGTATTGCATTACTTGAACCATAAAAACTAGTTTAATAGCTTATTGTAAAAGTAACAATGCAGTACATGATAATCACTATATAAAATAATTACATGCTTATAATGTAATGATTTTGTTCTGATCATTTTCTTATAATGACTGGATGCTAAAGGCACAGTCACTGAAAAAAACTTACCTATTATATACTCCCCTTGACTTAGTGTTTAGCAGTGAAGACAAAATAGCTTCCATATAATTAGGGAAAAAATTTACAAATGCATAAAATACAAACCAAGGTAAATTCTCATGCTGGTAATCAAATAAAGGCTTTTTACTTAACCCAAACAAAGAAGGTGCTTCCTCAAATTATAGAAACCAAATATTACAAAGCATAAAATTGTAAGTTTCTGGTGATATATTTTAAAGAATCTTTATCTTGAACTGTATAAAAGGTCTTAAAGTTTCCATATTGGAAACTGTTTAAAAACAATGAATATCAAAGTAACTCACCATTAACAGCAGATGCATTACAGGTCAATTTATAGTTATTTTCAACATTGACAGCAAGAGAAAACAGCCTTAAAACACACAATGTTTAGGCAATTGAAATATTTAAGAAATATATATACATATTTATAAAGATTTATAGCATAATTCTTTTTTACAATTTAATGTCAGTAAGAATTATGCACTGGTTATAAAATGAATAAGAAGAGAACAATTATAATAACAACCATATGACAAAATGGCACTGCAACAAATAAATAACTTAACAGGTTTCTCTGATGTTCCTTGACCATACAGATTAATCTAAAAATCATAATAATGGAACAACCTTCAAACTAGGAAACATTTTACAAAATAAATATTTATGCTTCACTTTTAAACACCAATAATCGTATATTATTTACACCATCTTATCATGAAGGCCCTGTCTACATATAAAATAAGTAAAATGAGGAACTGAAATACTGTTTTTAACTGTAGCTAAGTACACTGCCTCTCCACCTGCCACCCAACACCAAAAAAGTGTGTATGTGTGACTTACGAGTTTTAATTTCTACCCTAGGGGAAAGTAATTAAAACCACAAACCAGAAAATAGCTTTAACTAGGTTTTTTGGTTTGTATTCATTTTTAAGTGTTATAAAAACTAGATAGATTAGGAAACAAAGCATCCTTCTTATTGACATATTTGGAATAAAAACTGTATGGCGAGTTGGAGGTTTATATTAGCTATTCAAACTCTTTGATAATTGATCCTTCGATTGCTATGGATAATCCTAAAGAATTCAACCAAAGACAAAGAAATGCCTTGTTTAAGGTTCTTAAATATTTCCAGTTAAAGTAATACTTTAATTTGCTAGTTATATTAGTGTATGGATTGAAAAAGACATGACGGAATAAGAAAAGTACACTAAGATTATTTAATTTTTCTTTGGTAATAGGAGATGTATTATTTCTATCAAATCTCTTCTGTTATTTTTCTTAAAAGTTATGAATAATTTAATATTTAAGGGTGAGAATATGACAACAGCTGATACCTGCTTTGCATATTAAGAAAAATGTGGTTAATTAAAACATTCTACTTCCCATAATGATTTACCTTTCATAATGATTTACTTTTGTGGAAACTGAGCTATTACCTCATTTATAATTGATAATGGATTAAAGACATCAGACATTTTTTTCCATTTTTTCTTTTGTGGGAGTATAAATACGGGGATATGACTATGGGAATATATATCTTCACATTGTTAGTAGGTAATTTGTTACTTTTAGGTATTCTTTGTCTTTTAGCACCATTATTAAAGTTAAAAAATAAAAGAAACCTAAGTAAAGAGTTTATAGAAGGATACATAGAAACACAGGACTTAGATCTTTGAGTGGTGACATTAGAATGGGTTTTTCATTTTGTTCTTTTTACTTTATTTATACATTGCTTATATAACAGATATCATTCAAGAAGAATGAAGATAACAGTATAATGCTATGGTGCCAACTTACCTTAGCATACAACCATCCTGATAATAAATAATGGTCAAATGGCCAAACTTACCAATCCACAGAGATCATTTAAATACCTAAAATGATTATGGATCCAACATACAGAATACCAAACATAAGATAGAGAAAAACAACAACAACAACAACAAAAATTTCCCACTATTAAAGCCAAGGCTTTTAAAGGAGACACACTTTCTTAGGTATTTTCAACCATACGTTATCAACCCCAAAAGTGTTTAAACTCATGGAATGTCCACGGATTCCAGAAAATTTGTGCAATTCTGCTTTTTTTTTTTTTTTTGAGATGGGGGTCTTGTTATATGGCCCAGGCTGGCTGAACACCACCCGATTCTCCCACCTTAGCCTCCCTTGTAACTAGGATTACAGGCACATACCACTGTGTCCAGCTTAATTCTGTTTTTCATATAATACTCCCCAACTAGGCATAATCTAACTGCAGTGTGGGTCATCTTAACATAAATCAGTAATCTAATAAATCTTAAACAACTAATTTGGTGCCATCCTAGAAAAGCATGCATAGAAAAACAACCCCCACCCAGAATATATGTCTCTCATTTATATAACAAAATTTAACCAACTAGCTTTTCTACTTAATGCTTTAAAATAAAATGGGGGATAATTTGAAAATTGAATAAATCTGGAAAAACGGTGGCATTCTATATGTAATCCTAATTTACAAAAATAGTGAGTAAAAAAGTTTTTACTTTTATATACCGTGCTACCATATCTAAATAAAATCCATACAACCATTTTGAGAGCATTTCAATGAGGTTTATGAAGTATGTATATCAAGAAAATGAGAAACTATCACCCATTTTGACTAGTAAGCTTTAACAAAAAGTTTTTTTTAGCCTAAATGTCCGTAAAATTCCTTTATGTTGATATCATAAATTTTAATAGGCCAAGAAGCTAACTAGTTTGTTCAAAGTGATGATGAAAAGATTAGTGAAACAAAAGTCACCAATAGCAGCTTTTAAAGAAGCTTCTCTTTGTTCAAGGTAACATTTTAATGTCCAATGTAAGGAGAATTTTCTTCCTTTTCTAGTCTTAGAGTGTTTCTTATGGCAAAGTCCATATTTTCTTGAAACTCTTTATATGTATTGGTAATCGGAATTGCTAAAGAGTTATTACACTTGTTTCCAACAGGAAAATCCATATGCAGGCACTCAATTGAAGGAGTGGGTTTAAATCCAGCTGGAGGAATGGAATTGCAACCAGTTGCAAAAATCAGAATGTCTTCCATTGTTGTTGTAGATTTGCCATCTGAAAAGTTTACCAGTAAAAGAGAAAAAGAAAGAAAAGTAAATCCATGTTACATATTGCTATCATCATAGATTCTTCTCCAAATAGACTTGGAATACTGAAAGGCACAGACACCACATTTGTGTTGGGCAAACTAAATCACCAAGTCAGGTGTAGTAACAGGCAAACAGTACACTCAATAAATGAATCTCAAAACACAAGGACTAATACAATTACTTATTGTATATTTGACCACTTCTAGGTCATCACTATTTGTTATACTAGTTCAATAAATACAGACAGAAAAACTAAATTGGTAAAAAAACCAAAAATCCAGCTAAATAAAATTTGAACTATTAAGTTAAATTCTCTTCAACTTTATTAAGCAGAATGAGTTTACACTGGTAATGCTCAATGATAATCATTGTTATAGCCCTAACAAATGGATAAAGAATAATTTAGTTTAACTCAAATTAAAAATGATGAAATAGATGATTAGGATTAAGACTGTTCTATGGTGTGACATTAATGTTTTCTATAAAGAATGCCTTTCACCTCAACTTATATACAGAAAAAAATTTGCAAAACATAAATTTACTCTGTAACCTTTTTTATTTTTAACTCAGTCATATACATTTGCTTTGAAATAACTTTCATTTGTAAATAGAGTTAGCATCTTAATATTAATAACAAATGGCAAAACACACACATAAACCCCCAACAAATATGCCGAAACAAATATTCTGAGATCGTTAAAAATAAAATAAAATACATACATACCTTCAACAGCTTGTAAGTAACTGTTCCAAAATCCCAAAGCTTTTACATCAGGTAATGTGTGTACTGTAAAAAGATCACTAAGGACTTTTGCAGAAAGACTGTCAGGTTTATGGCACAGGATACTACAAAATGCTTCTGGGTAAGCCTGAATTTTCTCCAAAACACCAAGGGCTTTCAGACCCTGCTTAAAACTGAACAGAAGAAAAATAATGAGCCAACATTCATACATGTGTGTTTGGTATTATATTAGGGAATGAACATTTCCAGCTAACATTATCTGGCATATTTTTCAAAACAGCTAATGATTTTCAAAAAACAACAACAAAAGAATCCCAAATGAGAAAATCATATTTTCAGATGTGAGGAAAAAGAGAAGATATGGATATACTATACATGATATAATACTTTCAAATCCATAACAAGCAACTACATTAATACAAAATGAATATTTTATATGCCTACATTGTTTGGCTTTACAGTTTCAAAACTAACAAGTTTTTATTAATAAGAAAGAAGAAAACATCTCAAGTGTTTTATACTCAAGCCTCAGTGGTGTCCATGTGGGTGCTAATTTTGCAGGCATACACAATGCAAGAACTGTGGGGGCATGGCTACCTCCACCTAGATTTCAAAGGATTCCATGGATAACCTGGGGGTCCAGGCAGAAATCTGCCACAGGGCTGAAGCTGTCACACAATGTCCACACTAAAAAAAGCAATGCTTAGCAGAGCTATGGGAGTAGGGCAGCCCCTGAAAAATTGTAGGGCTGCCAGCATGCAACTCCAGCCTGGAAAAGCTGCAGGTATAAGACTCCAACCTGAGAGAAATGAACCATGGACTGAGCACAGCAAAGCCACAGAAGCAGCAGTGCTTGAGACATTGGGGCTCAATCCTGCCCCAATGTGCCCAGGATGTATGATACGGAGTCAAAAGAGATTATTCTGGAGGTTGAAGACGTAATGTTGTTTTCTTTGTTGGATTTAGGACTTTACTTATAAAAGTTACCCTTTACTTCTTGCATATTCCTTTTTGGAGTAGAAACGTCTATCTTATGCCCGCCTCACCGCTGTATTTTATTAATAGAAGTACTTTTTTTTTTAATTTTGAAAGCTCCCAGCTAGACAAAATTTGCCTCAGGATGAATTTCCCTTGAGTCTTACCCACATTTGATTCAAATGAGACTCTAGATTTTGGACTTTTGAGTAGATGCTGTAACTAGTTAAGACTTTTAAAGCAACTGAGGTGGAATGAATGGATTTTGTATGTGAGTGGGATATGAGTTTTGGAGTGCCAGGAGCAGAATGTTATGATTTGAACATCTCCTTAGAAACTCATGTTGAAATTTAAAGGCCAGTATAACAGTATTGGGAGATAGGGTCCTTAAGAAGTGATTAGGTCACAAGGGCTCTGCCTTCATGGGTAGATTAATGTCATTATTGTGGGAGTGAGCTCCTGATAAAAAGGGATGAGTTCAGCCTGATTTCCAGGGTACATCTCTGTTTTGTGTGCTCACTTGCTCTTCCACAATGCTATGACACAGCAAGACAGCTCTCACCAGGTGCTGAGCAGATGCTGGCACTACACCTTTGGACTTCCCAGCCTCCAGAACTATTTCCTTTCTTTATAAAGTACCAAGTCTCAGGTATTGTTATAGCAGCATAAAATGAGCTTAAAACACACATATGTTTATCTGTTATCATTAAAAAGAAAAGCAAATAATAAAAGAATAAACCACAAACAAACTATCAAAATGGTTACTTCATAAAGGGTTGAATGGTGGCATAGTTAAGGATGAAAGCTATACTTCTTTGAATATATTTTAAATATATTCTTATTACAGATTTGACTTTGGAACTAAACAAAACCTTTTATATAATTTTAAAATAAAATCAAACTTTAACAAAAATTAATCACTAAAAATAAAAATAAAATTTATGGCCAATTTATAGCAACACAGAAAATATTCCAGTGACTTATAAGCACAGTAATTTGATAATTTTAGTGTTGTTTATTCTGATACTATTGGTAATGAAATGTGGAATAAATCACATGAATAGTTACTTCAAATTCAAATTTTCCAGTGTCCTTAAGAACTGGAATTCTCAGTATAGCACAAAGAAAAAGTTAAGTAAAAATCATGCAATGGGGAATCTGAATTAGAAGTATCAATATACACTCATAATGTACCTTTAAAAAAATTAAACCAAAACAAATAAATTAAAAAATCCTTTATTTTCTAATTTAGGTTCACTGAGAGGGCCTAGGTACCATGACCAACTCAGCAAAACTAAGCATCTCTAACATCCAGACTGTGGTTGTGAACTACCATTTCTCATTAAAAATAACAAAGGTTCCTTAGGCTAAAATGTACAAATAAGTCTGAAAGACTTTGTGATACCAGCCGGGCGCGGTGGCTCAAGCCTGTAATCCCAGCACTTTGGGAGGCCGAGGCGGGTGGATCACGAGGTCGAGAGATCGAGACCATCCTGGTCAACATGGTGAAACCCCGTCTCTACTAAAAAAACACAAAAAAGTAGCTGGGCATGGTGGCGCTTGCCTGTAATCCCAACTAGTCAGGAGGCTGAGGCAGGAGAATTGCTTGAACCCAGGAGGCGGAGGTTGCGGTGAGCCGAGATCGCGCCATTGCACTCCAGCCTGGGTAACAAGAGCGAAACTCCGTCTCAGAAAAAAAAAAAAAAAAAGACTTTGTGATACCATATAGCAAAAAAAGCTTACAAAGACCATTAAGGCCACATCAAAGGAATCAACAACAACATCAAAAAGAGACTTATACTGGTCCAAGATATATATGTTCACACTTCAGTAATAAAAGTAACTATAAAGATTTTAAACACATCAAATATATTTACATATATGGATTACTGATACTACTTTTTTTTTTAAATGAATTGATGATGTTTGGGACGATATCTGATATCTGGTTTAAAATAATAATGGAGTCAATAACAAGGGTAGGATATAGATGAACAGACAGACACAGGTTAATAAGTGGTAGATCTGGATGGTAATTACAGGCTACTTTCATATGGATATTTCCATTATTTAAAAAAATTGTAAGAGTGTAAGGAGATACTTAAGTTTTCTAACTTAGACCAGTGTTCTAAACTAAAGGAGAACAAGAATCATATACACGTTGTTAATCAAAGAATAGTCAGTATATATATTACCCAGCAGATAAAAGGTACCCAATAAATAGTTATTAAATGAATACACAGAGACAGAATAGTTGGCTCATGTGGTAAGAGTTTTAAAAATAATATTTTTTAGAAAAAATATCATAATCTGAAGTAGTGATTATTCCTACAAAAGCATCATACATTTACACTATTATTTTTTTTATTTTGAGAGGGAGTCTTGCTCTGTCACCTAGGCTGAAGTGCAGTGGCGCAATCTCAGCTCACTGCATATTATTTTTTTTATTTTGAGAGGGAGTCTTGCTCTGTCACCTAGGCTGGAGTGCAGTGGCGCAATCTCAGCTCACTGCAACCTCTACCTCTCAGGTTCAAGCAATTCTCCTGCCTCAGCCTCCCAAGTAGCTGAGACTATAGGCATCTGCCACAATGCCTGGCTAATTTTTGTATTTTAGTAGAGATGCGGTTTCATCATGTTGGTCAGGCTGGTCTCGAACCCCTGATCTCAAATGATCTGCCTTCCTTGGCCTCCCAAAGTGCTGGGTTTACAGGTATGAGACACTGTGCCTGGTATAGAATGCTTATTAAATAATTAGAACAGCAATCATCCTAAAAAGGCTTAAAGTATTGGTTAAAAATAGCATTTAGAATTTTTTTGGAGATAAACATCTCATTTATTACCAAATATATCTCACATTACAAAATAACCACTTTAAACATGTAATTTAAGAGAACCATATAATAGTAACAACTTACCTTTCGAAGGGTTCTTGGACTCTCTGAATTACATGGTAGACAAGTATGTCTTTTGCTAACATATATTTATCACTTAATGATGTTATAAGTCTGAGACATCCAATAAACTCAAGGTAGTTAGAGCATTCATTTACTACCGATTTCAAGTCAGCTACAGTTGTTGTAGTATTTATCTGTAACGAAGGAGAAAATACAGCCACTTTATCCATTTACTTTTGAGTGTCATGCACATTTCAAATGGTACTTAATTTATAATCAAATTTCTGAGTACATATGGGTACAGTGAAAGTAAACCAAGAACTATTTTTCTAGAATAAAATGTCTGATGATCCAGTTCAACAAATATGTGTATTTCTGCCTTCAAGAAATCCAGAGTATAATGCCACTTTTCTACATGAAACTACAAAAAAGGAAATAACTGACATTGAAAAATTATATAGCACTATGTAAGACTAGCTACTAGGGAGGCTAAGGTGGGAGGCTTGCTTGAGGTCAGAAGTTCAAGAACAGCCTGGACAACACAGCTAGTACCCTTCTCTAAAGAACTTTTAAAACAACAACAACAAACAAGGCCTGGTGTGGGTGGTATGCACTGTAGTCCTAGCTGCTTGGGAAGCTGAGGCAGAAGGATTTTGAGCCCAGGAGTTGGAGGTTCACTGAGCTATGAACACACCAATATACTCCACGCTGAGTGACAGACTGAGATCTTATCTCTTAAAAAGAAAAGAAAAAAAAAAAAGAGGAAAGTTACCTAGCACTAGATAGGCAAGAAAGATGACCTGATAATTCATGAAAAAGAGTATCAGCTGTGAATTAAAAGATGGACAGAATTTTATTGTGTATTTTAGTGAACAGCATAAAAAAAGAAATACTTGGCCATTTATGTGCCACTTTCATATAGGTTAGCTCTTAAAGGTACAGAGGGAGAAAGATAAAAATAGAGAGCAATCAATCCATTAACAGAAAATTTACTTGCAATTTCTTTTTCCTAAAACATTCTTAGAGATTTGCCTGACTTTCTTTCATTCATTCCAAAATTCTGCTGTAATCTCATAAGTTTTTCTTAACTATTCTGCTCAAAATACTACCTTTACACCCTGTCAGAGTAATAATTGGGCATATGTTGCCTCATCCCTGCAAACCCTCAAGCATGCAGTCTTTTTTAAATAAATGAACAAACGCTGGATAAAAAGTACAGAAATTGGAGTAGATAAAGCCATGAAGATAGCTGAAGGTCTTAAGTGCCCTAATGAAGAGCTTAAACTTTGTTCAACAGGCAATGAGAAGCCATAGAGGAGACCTGAGGAAGAAAACAATATGGTCAAAACTGTATTTCTGGAAGAATTGTATTAGAACAATATTCTAATTGTCTAAGCCTAGGGAAAATTTGAGTTTGGTAAAATAGGCATACTAGAAATAGGAAAGAAAGGTTGATGATAAATCGGTCTTAGATGACTTGACATGTAACTGGAAAATGGAGGAGTAAGGAAAAATGGGAACAACTCTTTCTCCAGGACAGCTTGTAAATAAGACATCTCTTGGAAAGAAAAGGCAGACAAGCAAAAACAAAACATAAAAACAATCACACAAAAAATTCTGGGAAAAATATTAGTTTTATCTTAAACATGTTGGACTCAATGTGCTAGCAAGACCCAGGGCTTATATGTAGATAAAACTCCGGGGGCTCAAAACTAGAGGTCTGTGAATCATTTTAGAATGATTATGAGAGAGAAGAAGCTCTCTAAACAATAAAGAATAAGGACTGTTAAGACAACACTGAAAAATGTTAAGTTTCAGGGGTAAAAAGTAAGAAGCATTAAAGACGACAGAATCATCAAAGGTAGGAGGAAGTACATTAAATAAAATATTGCAGAGAAATTCTAAGTGGTAATTGCAGAAGTCACAGCAGATGGAAAATTAGAAAAGGCCTTTAGACATGGATATTTAGATACCTGGATATAAACTATGAACTCGATAACTTGAGACTGGTAGTAGGGACAGAAGCCTGATTACAAGAAATAAATAGAAAATAGGAAGTAGAAACAACGAAGCTTAAGTACACTTTTTTTTTTTTTTTTTAAGTAAAGAGGACACAAAAGGAAAAACAAAGAATTAAAGGGTCAATTTAAAATATGATGTTAAGATAAACAGTCTTAGGGCAAATAAACAGAATTGTTATAATACAGTATAGCAACTCACACTTCAATAGTGCTTACTCTGTCATTTAGAAACTGAGGTTTAGTAAGATTAAGATGCCCAAAGTGACATAGCATATAGTATTATAACAGTTGGCATTCAAACTAAAATCTGACTTCTGAGCCTATGCTTTTTTTTTTTTTTTTTTTTTTTTTTGAGACTGAGTTTCCCTCTGTTGCCCACATTGAATGTGATCTTGGCTCACTGCAACCTTCGCCTGCTGGGTTCAAGCTATTCTCGTGCCTCAACCCCCTCAGTAGCTGGGATTACAGGCACAGACCACCTCACCCAGCTAGGGCCTATGCTTTTAATCATTAAACAATACTGCCTGTTAATGGAGACAATGGATACAGTATGCATAAGGAGGAGGAAGATTAAGGAAGAAAAGTTAAATGGCTTACATTGTTTCAGTTTCTAAAGCAGTAACAACATGTTGGCAATGACATTTATTCACATTATTATAAATGAGTGTACATGTGACATGTTTAGTATAGGACCCACTGTAAGTGCTTAATAAATGGTAACTATTTCTAGGTGGACGCATGAAGTCCTCCCCGACCCCTACCACTTGTTTCCTTTCGGAAGAAATTCAGCCTTGTCTTTCTCTCCACCTATCATTCATACCTCCCTATAGAAGGAAGGATAAGTATTCTAACTGGTAAGCCAAATACTTCCTCTCTTCAAATCCACCAGCATGCAATGAAGTGCACTTTCATCTGCTTTCTAGCATGCAATATGGAACCTGCCTTACATTGTCTCTAGCAAGGCAGGCAAACCCACGTATTTCTGAGGAGCATTCACAAGCCATGCTGAACACAGATCAAAATCACATTAGCCCACTGGTTTTACCAACATTAAACATGGCACTTTAATCTCTAGCCATCTGACTTTTACAACTATCTCTTAAATGGTTCAGAACTCCACTGGTAAACAGAAATAAATGTTTACAACCCCTAACTCCTCCATAGAGAGTATTATTATTTTATTGCAGATCAGTCATTGCCATTAAAAGATACCTAGAATGTAGTGTGTATTTTAATAAACAGGTACATTTCTTACCCTGATTATAATCTGTGCCACATCAAAGTCTGAAACATCATCTAAAATTGGCTGGGTATTTTCTGGTCCATAAACAAGACAGTTAAACAGGGTTTTAGAAAAGAAACCAGGTGAAGGACCACCATGAACTAAAGAAATGGCAAGCATTCTGCCAGCTTCATAGTAAAGATTCTCTTTCAGAGCTGTAAATACAGATGAAAATACATCAAATACATTTCTATTAGTATAAGATAACCATTATTTTTAATACATATATATTAAAAATTAGTCTAAAAATCTAAGCATTAGATAAACCTAATTCTTAGAAGCTATTACATAGAAAACATAGATCTTACCTAAAATATATAAAAAAAGACATTTTTCTGAATATAAAGTAAAAATCTATTGTAGAAAACATAAAACACAATACACCTACCACCATAACAGCCACTGTAAACACTTTGGTGTACAGTCATGCACCATATAAGGATGTTTCGGTCAAGAATGCACCAAATATACTAAGGTGGTCCCTAAGATTATAATGAAGCTGAAAAACTCTTATGGCCTAGTGATGTTATACTGTCATGCATTACCTTTTGTATATTTAGATACACATATACTTACCATTGTGTTACAATTGCCTACAATATTCAATACAGTAACATGTTGTACAGGTTTGTAGTGCAGAACCAATAAGCTATACCATGTAGCCTCGGCTACACCAACTACGTTTGCATTAAGTTACACTTTATGACCTTTGTACAATGATAAAATTGTCTAATGCCACATTTCTCAGAACACACCCCTGTTAAGTGACAAATGACTGTATATGTACCACTTTGAGTATATAAATATACAAACATTTTGACTTATGCTTTATCCACTTACATTGTAAACTTTTTATTATACTACTTAAAATTACTCAAATCTACTGTTAATAAATGCATTTAGACTAACTTAGAGATGTACTATAATGCAAACCATCTCCCTATTACTGGCTCTCCTGGCTAAGTGACATTTCCAATTATATGAGACATAATGTTACAGTCAACATCTACTTACATATTCTTGTTTATATTTATTTGATTAGGATTCCTACATGTGGTATTAGTGGGTCAAAGGATAGAATCATTTTTTTTTTAAACAAGTTTATTAGGAAAATAAAGGAATAAAGAATGGCTACTCCATAGGCAGAGCAGCAGCTTCAGGATAGGAACATTTTTAACGTTCTTGATCTGTATCACTAATCTTTCCCAAAGGCACAAATTTACTCCCAACAGTATATGCTGTCGTACCTTACTGTCAGAGCTTGAATTAAAAATTGTTGTTTAAAATGTATTATCAACTTTGATGTGCCAAAAAAATCAAGTAAAATTTTCCTTAATTTTTAAATTAATTGTTGAAAGCAACTTACTAATAAGTAACATTAACTATACCTGTACAATAACCTTACAAGCTACATATTCAGTCACATTTTGTAGATAAAGAAACTGAGATCCAGAGAAAGTAAGCAATTAATCTAAGGATGTAAAGAACTAGATGTGTACAACGTTGAATTCAGATTTTGTGATTTAAATTGACATACACTCCACCATACCAAAGCTGCCTTGAGCTAACATTACTATTTGTAAAGGTTTTATTTATTTTATTCTACTTAATTTTAAAGGGAGTTTAGAATTAGACTATATAAACTATACAGAGTAAAAATGATGTTTTAGGCAATGGTGAGGATGTTTACAGAAAATATAGTAGGAAATTCAAATGAAACAAAATGTCTTCTCTTTCTTTAGAATTTCCTGTTGCAGCAAAAGTGGTATATAAGCCTCAAAAGAGAATGCTAGAATTACCCACTGCTTTTTGAAATGCCTGTTTTAATTACCTTAAGTTCTCACCAATAGTAAAGACAGAAAACTATCATATACATAACTGTGCAAAAAAACTCCAAAATTCTTGCAAACAAAAGTACACTGAAAAATTGATTACAGGAAGCTATGTTACAAAAACTCTGTGTTAACTGCAAATTCCAAATATACAAACAAGAAAAATTCAAATAATCACCCCCATTTGGCCACTCTATTAAAATGAAATTAGAGTGAAGATAAAGTTACACTTAATTATGGATTAATTTTAAGGAGAATACTGCTATAAAGAATGTATATTCTTAAAAAAAGTTTCACCACAAAATTTACTTTTTAAACTATCACTCCCCCTTCCCACTTTCCTGTAATTCTATCAGTGGTTTATTAATAAAGTAAACTGTATATTTAAAGCACAGGTATTAAATATCAATTCTAACCAGCTCTCTCACTCTCTTTTTCTATACATGTGATATTTGGTATATATAACAGTAAATAAAATAATTACCTTGAGAATTTAGAGACAAGTTCTTTGACAAGGACCCTTCGAACAATGATGAGTTCTCAAGATGTTGCATTAAGAGACTCAGAAATTCTTGCTTTGATCCAGGTTGCTCACTTCCAAAATTATCATTTTCAATAACATATGCTACTTCAATTGCATATAAAGGATTAAAGTTTTTATTTCTGAATCCATCTAAGGCACTATTCCAGATATTGGCTTTGTTGATATATAATCTTTTAGTTTTTTTTTTAATTTGGAATCCTAACTCTATTAATAGTGTTGATACATTTCTTCTAAATTTGCTGCCTTGCCTATAAAACATGAATTTAAACAAAGAGATAAGTACTTTAAAGTACTTTGCGTGAAACAGCAGTTATATAGCCAATAAAAACAAGACAAGGAAAAGAAAGAGTAACAGGATATTCTTCCCCAACTCCTACCCAAAATCTTAATACTGGCTGCTACCAGAACCAAATAACTACTAGTTATTTGATAAACTTCGTTTTAAATTCTTAATTCCTCACCTCAATCTTTTACCAAATTAGAATCATTTGCAAGAATGTTGATAGATAATCATCTCAAATTTGACCAACCAGTAAATTTAGGTTTATTAAGAATCAGAAGCTCAAATTCTCACCTTCCTTGCTAATGGCTATAATAAACTTCCTTAATTGTAGTTTACTTCACATTTACTATATCCTTTTTTTAAAAAAAGCAAATGTAATTTCTGCTTACTATATAAGAAACTTAGGCTTTGAGAGATTACACAGTGTATTTTAAATCATAAAGTCATAATTAATAGTAGAGCTAATATTATAAATGGAATTTACAATTCCTCAAATAGTACCCTGTAGTCTAGACAGTAAGTCACGAAGTGTGGTCCTAGACCAGCAGCAGCATCACCTGGGAACTTGTTAGAAATGCAAATTATTGAGCCCTACAGCATATCCACAGAATCAGAATCCCTGGGCAGGAAGCCCAGCAGTCTGTTTTAACAATCCAAGTGACTATATAAACCAGCTCAATCACTCCTTCCCTCAGTTTCTCCATCTATAATTGGAATTAATTTTCTCAAAAATAATCTTGTTTTGGGCAATGCCCATTGATCATTTTCCATACCAAGTATGAATCTGTCCTACCCCAAGACATTAGAGTGTCCTAGTGTGGGCCAGGTTTTGCTTTTTCTTTTTTCATATGATCCTATCTTCATTAACTCATGATGAATAAAGGCCAAATTCCTTTGGAAGTAAGATAATTCTTTAGAAACATATCTTTTTATAGCAGGTTGATTCCTTGCTCCTGCCTGGATCAGGGGAATGCTGATGCTATTCTTCTAGAATATGACTGCATATTAAAGCAGGAGCAAGGAGTCAAGCTTCCCTGGTGTAACATCTTCAGAAATCTAAATATTAAAATTATTTTAAAATAATGTGAACATCTATTGATACTGAAACAGATTTTTCAGTCGAGTGGCACATTAAAGCAGATACTCTCCATATTTTGAAGAGTACTTAATATTCTACGTGTCTGCAAATCTAGTTATCAAATGTTTTCACAAAAATTCTCTTCAGTATCTTGTAAGGTTTTAAACTTGAAACTTTTTTTTTAAGAGATGAAATCTTGGTGTGTCACTCAGGTGGCAGTGTAGTGGCATTACCATAGCTCACTGCAGCTTGACCTCCTGGGCTCAAGCGATCATCCCACCTTAGCCTCTTGAGTAGCTAGGACTACAGGTGTACCCCACTATACCTGGCTATTTTCTTAAAAATATTTTTGTTGAAACAGTCTTGCAGAATTGCCCAGGCTGATTTCGAACTCCAGGGCTCAAATGATCCTCCCACCTTAGCCTCTCAAAGTGTTGGGATTACAGGTATGAGCCACCATGCTCACTCAAACTATTTTTAACAAGAAAGTATATCATCATGCTTAGCTACTGATTTTCTACTTCTTCCCTTTTGGGTAAAGCAAGGTTCTAAAAACTCTTTTGCAAATCTATATAAACTTAAAAATCTTAACTACAAGCTGAACAAACACCTGACATTATAAAGATGTAATTCCAGTCTTATTTAAATGTTTAAGATTTTGAAAGTAAATTATTTTGCTATCTTATGGAAACAGAAATTAGTATGATAATAGTATGCATGCCTTAAACTTTCTAAAGGGAAGAGCTGACATTTACATTCCAGACATTGACAGTAAACAAGCAAACAATGATTATAACATCAAAAAATGGTAAGGCATAGTGGCTCACACCTGTAATCTCAACATTTCGGGAGGCCAGGAGTTTAAGACCAGTCTGGGCAACACAGCAAGATTCCATCTCTAGAAAAATTTAAAAATTAGCCAAGCATGGTGACAAGCCTTTGTAGTCCCAGCCACTTGGCAGGCTCAGGTGGGAGGATCACTTATGCCCAGGAGGTTGAGGCTGCAGTGAGCCATGATCATGACACTGTACTCCAACCTGGGTAACAGAGTGAGACTTCATTTCTAAAAAAAAAATTCACAGAAAAAAAAATTTCTATATTAAATAGGATTCTTTTATTTTAATAAAGTGACATAGTACACTTGACATTTTAATTTCCTGCCTCACTCTATAATCACATAACATTTTAAGCACATTTTCCAGGTCAGTGTTTTTCAAACTATTTTGAAAGTGATCTATAATAAAAAATATATTTTACATCATTACTCGGTACACAAAAAATAATTAGGATAGATACACTTTTCCTAAGTATGATGCATTTTGGTATTTGGTATTCTATTCTATCCCATTTCATTTTCTTTAAAATGCTAGTTGTACTGATTTCATGATCAAATGTTGGGTCCTGAAGGTTGAAAAATACTCTTCCAGACTATTATGTGATCACCTAATATTCTAAGTGTACATGGCATTTCCCATCATACTTTTCTCCAAATATGTTTTTATGTAGGTTTTCTCCAATTAAAAATACATACCTCAGTAGATCTTTACTCTGGGATCCAGGTGACTGTCTGGGTAATTTTGGTGATGACTCTTCCAACAAACAATCTGTAATCCCCACATTATTGGAGCTGGGTAAAACATGTTTTTTGGCTTTTCGGAACTCTCCTACAGATTTAAATTTCAGTGTTAGCATAATTGAGATAAAGGTAAAAACTTTTAAACATACATTTGAATAAAAACTGTATTGAAAATTACAAAATATTACCTGAATTGTAGATAATACCCCTACATTCCAAACACTCCCAATTTTGTTCCCATGACTGTAGTGAAGAGCAGGCTAAATGTGTGCCACTGGAGCCACAACACTGACAGAGCTTTATTTCCCATTTGCTGAGGACATAAAGAAAAGCAGATACTAATGTTTTGTGATTATTCTAGTTTCAACCACTAGCAATGTCCACAGGCCCTACCTTCTTACACACACACACACACACACACACACACACACACACACACGCACACGTTTACTAAACGAGGAAAAAGATTATCTGCTCCAATAAATATCTCTAATGTAAAAACCAAAACTAAAACTTATCACACTCATATGCACATACACAAAGAATATAAACATCAGAAAAAATAAAAACGGAGAAAATAAATTATCTTTTCTATTTCAAGATAATTATGCTTAAAGGAAGATTGCTGTGTCAGTGTGTCTGATATGCATGAAATATTCAATACATTTCAAGGTGAGAAATATTTCCTAAAATAAGCCTGTTCAAACACCTCAGGTATTGTGCAGTTAAACAGAATCTGGACCTCCTACCTGGCTCATATTTATATTCTCTGTCATCATTCCCAGCTCCATGTTTCCCCACTATGTTATGTGATATATGCCAGTCCATATTCATATTTTCTCCATGACTATGGGTATAAGCTATAGTGTGGGGCTCCAGATTTTTTTGGGTATGACTACACCTTCTCATTTAGAAGCAGAGTTAGCTACCCGTGTGTGTGAAAAGTGTCAGTGGCAAGAGAGGTAACTAGATATCATCCCTCTGTGTAGGTGTGCATATTTTTGTGTGTTTCCTCTGTGTGTGTGTGTGTGTGTGTGTGTGTGTGTGTCTACCCACTGACAACGACAAGGAGGAAGCAGCAGCTAACCTAAGTGCTTATTATGCTCCAGGTCCAGTTCTCACTGTGTTCATAGGAAAAGTATAATCTTCACAATTGTAGAAGATAGAGAGAACCACTGTCACTTCCATTTTAAAGGCATAGAGGGGTCAATAACATGCCCTCTCAATTTCACACTAGCCAAGTCTCAGAGTAAGGTTTCCAACTCAGTTTATCTAGCTTCAGACACATGCTCTTAAGCATTAACCATGCTGCCTTTCACTAAAACTGCCTTCCTCTTACTAGGATGAGAGGTCATGAGATTACAAAGCAGTCATTCAGTTAGATAGCATCTTTGTCCTTAAAAGAAGAGTTGTAGCTACAGATTGAGAGACCAATGGTATATAAGAAATATATATAAGTTAAATAAGAAGAGCCTAAAATAAATTTGAAAAATATCATGAATGTATTGCTTCTTAAAATCCTATATACATTACTATATCTGTGCCTTAGCACAACTCTTGAGGGAGGTATTATGAGTGTTAACAAATGAATAATCAGGGTCACTAGATCAAGTAACACAAACAAGAATACATGTTACTTGACACTTTCAATGAGATCTCTGCCTTTTAAGAATTTTTGGTTTAATAGCATTAATTTAAATAATGCCAACTATATTGTAACAAGCACAATGAAGGGAACCCCTAGCCCAGAGTAGGGAATCAGGAGTGAGGAGAGCTGCTTATGGGAAACTTTCTAGAGCAGGCTAGACCTCAGCTGAGTCTTCACAATTAAGTAGTAGCTGACCCAACCAAATCACTTTTTATGAGAAACAAGGCTCCCAATATTCTGCTCTACATGCTGAGCTTACTATGTTAAGTAAGATTACGTAACAGTGATAACAATTTATTGACATTTCCTACATAGGTTTTGTAAACTGGATGTTACTTTTTATCCTACATCTTAAAAAATGAAGACACTTTTGGTTCCTACTATCTAACAGAGTATAGTGTACCTAAAATGCACAAAATAACTGTTGAAGAGCTGTATCCACTGACATTACAAAAGAATAATGAATATATTTCAAATGCCAAACCCTTTTTATAGTGGTCTAAAAGAAACAGTGCCAAATGAATCTAATTAAATTATCCTCCAGAACAGTGCTGTCCAACAGAAATACAATGTAAACCAAATATGTAATTTAAAACTTTCTAGTAGCCACATTAAAAATATAAAAAAGTAAAATTAGTAACATATTTTATTTCCAAAATATCATTTTGTTCAATATGTAATCTACGTAAAAATTATTAACAATAAAGTTCTTTGGTCATGTAAGTTCTTTAACTCTTATTAAAATAATATGACTATGGGCTGAAATGTGTCTCCCCCACTTCATATGTTGAAGAGGTAATTACAGTAAAATAAGGTCATATGGGTGGGCCCTAAACCAATATGACTGGTGTTCTTAATAAAAAGAGATCAGGACATAGACAACACACTGACAGAGGGACCACTCGTGTGAGGACATAGCTAGAATACAGCAAACTGCAAGCAAAGGAGAGAGGCCTCAGAAGAAATCAAACCTGTCAATACCTTGATCTTGAACTTCCTGCCTCTAGAATTATGAGAAAATAGTACTATTTTGTTAATGGCAGCCCTAGTGAACTAAGCCTTTGGTATGTATTTACAGCACCCTCGCAATTTGGAAAAAAGAAATTTCAAGCGCTCAATAGCCATATGTGGCTAGTGACTACCAGATAGGATAGTGTGACTCTAGAAAATAGAGTCTCGTGATAATAATACACCAGAGAAAGAGGTTACAACTATACTAACTGCAAACATTTCTCTGTAAACAGACGTAAATGTGCGTTAGAACATATCCCTCATCTCAATTTAAACTTCTAACATCCTAAGAGCAAAACCACATTTCACTAACTAGAAAACCTACTTTCTAAGCAGAAGGGTTAAACAAGGAACCAGTAAGCACAACTGAACTTTCAGAAATACCTGTCAGGTGCATTATAGTCTCGCCCTTCTTTGCAACGACATCTTCGAACATCACAACGCTCATGGTGCTGCAAAAGGTCTTGATAAGCATTTTCCTCTAATTCCCAGGATGCATCTCTATAAAAGAAGCAAGATATAAAATATGCTTTGACTTATAAATAATGTTATATAAGAGGATCAGGAATGAATCTAAAAATAAAAACTTTTATATACTTAGGAAAAAATTAGTAACACTTGTCCTATTCAGGATTCTCTTTAAGATATAAAGCCATTAGTGTCATTTTATCATACAGTTAATTAGTCTCACAATGAAATGCTAAATGAAAAATTAACAAGAACTTTTCTACAACACATTTTTCCTAATATTTCACTTTCCATTTTTAAGTTCACTATCATTATTTCTGGATTCCTGTGTTTAAATGTTAAGAAAATTCTTACACATTTTAAAGCACATCTTGATTCTCTTAATTTATACACACTATTTTGAAGCCTATTATAACTGTGTATAAAATCAATCAACTAAAATTGGACATAGCTGAGCTACGTATTAAGAAATTAAAAATCAACGAATGAGACATTTATGACACAGTCCCTGCTTTCCAAGAACTGGCAATCTAGGGGAGGGGGAGGTTTTGCATTTCAGCATTTGAAATGACTACCAGTCCATGCTCACTGAATCAGATGTAAGTGATCATTTCCATTGCTATTAAATCCTACCTTTAAAATCTCTCTCTCTCTCTTTCTCTCTCTTTATTTTTTGGTCAAAGGGCTAAATGTTACTCACTTTTCAGGAATATGAATTCCCATTCTCAACATCTCTTTCTGAAAGATGTCACTATTATTGCATATTGTACACCTAAAAAAAAACACTCCCGCATTTATTGCTTGAACCTATAGTGGAAAATAGAAAGTCTACTGTTAATGATTTAAGTCTGTCATCAGGTTATGTATTATATAACTAACAGAACATGTCCTATTTTTAACAATATATTATGAAAACATTTTCTATGTTAGTGGGTTCTCAAACTTTGTCCTTATAAACTAAGTTATCCTACTGCTAAAATCTAGAATTCTTATTTTCCTCAATGGTTAAAAAAAAGCCAATTAATAGACTGTTCTTAGCTTTACATCACCCATATATTTTTCTCAATCTTACTGTGTAATGTCATTCGTTGCTAAATATTGTGTTGTCCTCCAAAATGTGAGAAAAAATTGAAACTCTTGAGTTACTTCATCTAGAAATGGTATTTAAATGTTACATAAAAATCATTACTGTTTCTCTTTTTAACTCAATCTATAAGATAGCTTTCTTCCCCAAACGGGAGAAGTGTAAAACCTATCCTCACTGCTACAGCAAATACAGATACAGAAGCACCAGACAGAGAATACTCAGAAGGAAACAGGAAACTGTAAGCCTACTGGAAAGACTAGCCAGTCCCCAGTAAAAACTACTACCATACATTTATTTAACAGACAGTTAATTCCTGCTTTATAGATGCCAAACGCCACACTATGCACCAAAAATACAAACAACATTTGGTATTATATACCGAAAATCAAAATACGACAGATTCAACTTGAAGGAATTCTACTGAGTTAGGTATACAGGTATAAAACTACAATACTGTGTGTATTTTAAGTATATACATGAAAGAAACAGGAAGAAGTACCTAAGACTACACTGATAAATATGTCAGAGGGTTAGTAAAGCAAAAGCTAAGTTTAAAAGAATAGAGGTTTGCCAGGAAAATAGGACAGAAGACATTCCAAGGATGGGGAAAAATATATATGAAGTTTCCCTGGCAAGAGAGAGAATGTGTGATTAGTAAAGTACGATTAATAATATACTTAAGGATTACATTCTTACCAAACTGGACTAAGGAGAGGCTAGATAGGTAAGTTAAAGCCAGTAGTATGAAGAATAATTTTTTTTTTTTTTTTTTTGAGATGAATTCTTGCTCTATTGCCCAGGATGGAGTGCAGTGGTACAATCTTGGCTCACTGCAACCTCTGCCTCCCTGGTTCAAGTGATTCTCCTTCCTCAGCTGCATGAGTAGCTGGGACTACAGGTGCATGTCACCGGCTAATTTTTTGTATTTTTAGTAGAGATGGGGTTTCATATGTTAGCCAGGATGGTGTCGATCTCCTGATCTTGTTATCTGCCCACCTCGCCCTCCCAAAATGCTGGGATAATAGGCGTGAGGCACTGTGCCTGGCCAAGAATAAACTGATAGGGAATAAGGCAACAGAGAAAGACCAACTAGAGAGTAGGATTACAATAAAAAGGATACACAGAATATACTAAGTAGACTTCATCGCACCTGGGGAATGATTTATGGATGGTGAAGAGAGAAGCTAATAAAGAGGATTCCAGGTTCAGACAATTAGCAAGTGACACAAACACACTCATTCACACACACACACACACACACACACAAACACACTCTCTCTCTGTCTCTCTCACTCAAATACAGGAGGGAAGCAACAAGTTACTGAAATCAAGTGACACAAACACACACACTCTCTCTCTCTCTCTCTCTCTCTCTCACTCAATCAAGTATGGGAGGGAAGCAACAGGTCACTGAAATCTCTGAACCTAAAGGATATTTGAGCAACTGCAGACAGATGCCAAGATCTTACTAAATATGGTACAAAATACAAGGAAGTATCTGGTACAGAGGGGAAAAAAAACAGTATAAGACACATGGAAGATATCAAGAAGACTAGGGTAATGATAGAGAAATCCAAAGCTGAACAAGAATAGTGACAATTCTCTAGACACAGAATGGAAAGTTTTTAACCAATTTCTGATATTAATCTCTAGTCTGTTCTCCTAGAATCCCAATGTATAGCATTTGTAGTGGTTACAAGTAATGACATTTGTTTAACCACATACAGCTATCTAGATTGGGTAGACTTCATATACTGTTTCAGTTAAGACTGATAACAGAGTACAAAAGTTACTGGAACTCCTTTAGAGAGAGTGACTCAAGAATTAGCCCCATCTTAGTATGCGCTAATCAAGTATAATAATTGCTTATTGATATTATATCCTAGACAGGTGTCCATGTGAGTGAGATATGAAATTATATTTGCATGAAGTAGACCTACTTTTTTATTCGTAATATTATTTCTACTTTTTTAATGACAAAATTAAAAACTCAGTATTTTCAGTGTTCACAAAAGGCCTTAATACTAGGTCAAGTTTGAGAACCTTTCTTTAATGCTTAATTATTAACATATAAATGAGAAAAATCTTATGAAAAATAATATTCTGTTACGAAACTAACAAGATGACACATTTGGCAGCAATTATATTCATCCAAATACAAACCCTTAATTAAGACAAATTATGCTTTTTAAAGATTCTCATACAATATGAACTTCTTCCTCAATAGGTAAGGATAATACTTCATGATGTTGTTTATTAACTGCACTCTCTAGGATCCTTTTATAAATACCTCTTTGTAAGTATTAACAGAATTTCTAATATTTCCCCAACAAAACAGACTTCATCCTGCACTTTTCTTTTTTAAGACAGATTTTTGCTCTGTCACCCAGACTGGAGTGCAGTGGTGCTATCTAGGCACACTGCAACCTCTATCTCCTGGGTTCAAGCAATTCTCCTGCCTCAGCCTTCTGAGTAGATAGGATCACAGGTATGCACCACCACACCCGGCTAAATTTTTTTGTAGTAAAGACAGGGTTTCACCATGTTGGCCACGCTGTACTCAAACTCCTGACCTCAGGTGATCTGCCTGTCTCGGCCTCCCAAAATGCTGGGATTATAGGCATGAGCCACTGCGCCTGGCCTTCATCCTGCACTTTTAACTAATAATCCTAAATTTAAAATTCAAGGCCCATACAAAAAATAATAATAATAATCAGTCAAGCTTTACTACTTTTAGTACTGTTAGTATTTTTAAGATTTTACTGAAATAGGAGAATTTATGTTTTCGAACTTTTAAAAATATGTCTGTGAACAATTAGTAATAATAACTTTTCATTTCATTAAACAATAATAAACTTAAAAAAAACAGTATTAGGCTGGGCACAGTGGCTCACGCCTGTAATCCCAGAACTTTGGGAGGCCAAGGCAGGCAGATCACGAGGTCAAGAGATTGAGACCATCCTGGCCAACATGGTGAAACCCTGTCTCTACTAAAAAATACAAAAATTAGCTGGGTGTGGTGGTGCACACCTGCAGTCCCAGCTACTTGGGAGGCTGAGGCAGGAGAATTGCTTGAACCCGGGAGGCAGAGGTTGCAGTGAGCCGAGATTGTGCCACTGCACTCCAGCCTGGTGCCTGGCGATAGAGAGAGATTCTGTCTCAAAAAAAAAAAAAAACAAAAAAACAAACAAACAGTATTAAACTTAAGAAAATCTTTTGTTATTTGGCATTTTACTATCAACTAGCACTTTCACATATACATATTACATATTTGATGTTACTAGTAACTGAAATCTTTTTAAAATTTTCAAGTATTTTCAGAATCCAAGAAATACTAAATTGTTTAGTGTTGTGTGTTTTATTTGCTTGAAAAGTAGTAATCAGGTTTGAAGCATAAGATGACTCCAAAGAACCAATATTTTTAATTAATTGACAGTAATTAGCTCCCTGTTAAGAAGTTGTAAAGTGTTTACCATAGGGGAAAAAAGTCTACTAACATTTACATCTTAACTTGCTATCAAGCTTTTTATCATTTCAAATATCCTGGTTTTCAGCTTAAAATGTAAATGGAACTTAGGAACTAAAATCTAGTTTATTCATTGTGAAAGCAAACAAAATCCTTAGGTAAAAACAACAAAATTCTGTAAGTATAAATATACATTAAAAGGTTTCATCTAAAGTATGCATGTATGTATTTATTTATTTTGAGATGGAGTTTTGCTCTTGTTGCCCAGGCTGGATCTGGGCAATGGCGTGATCTCAGCTCACTACAACCTCTGCCTCCCAGATTCAAGTGATTCTCCTGCCTCAGCCTCCCAGGTAGCTGGGATTACAGGCATGTGCCACCCTGCCTGGCTAACTTTATATTTTTAGTAGAGATGGGGTTTCTCTGTGTTGGTCAGGCTGGTCTCAAACTCCCAACCTCAGGTGATCCCCCTGCCTCAGCCTCCCAAAGTGCTTGGATTACAGGGGCGAGCTATTGCGTCCAGCTAAAGTATTTACTGAATCTGAATTGTACAATTAAGGTAAATTTTATATGTAAAATGTGCTTCAAATTAAATGCTTTAAAGCTGTTTTTACAAGGTAACAGGTAGTAAGAGCTAACACACACGTTAATTCTTTCTTATTTAAAATTTATATCACCAAGCCATAATTTTACATCAATCAGAGAAAGCTTACAGAATGTGTGTCTTACCTGTAAACAGTCTCTATGAAACCAAGCGTTCTTACAACAAGGACTTCGTAATATGTTATAACTTGGAATAGGCTGAATAAATTCCAAGCAAATGGTGCATGTTAAGGAGTCTTTATAATTATTAGATGTAATTTGAACAGGTCGATGGTTCCAACAAAATGACCTAAAAATGTAAATTATTTTTTAAAAATCGAATGAACTGCAAAGCAAAACTAGGACAGCACCATATAAAAGAAAATTCATTTGTGTCTGTGTCATAATTCACCTACAACAGACTGGAACCTTGGCACTAAAAATTAAGTCTCACAATCTATGACCAAGGAGAGAACTGGACATTCAAAATCTGAACTTTTCTGGTAATGAGACTTACTTACACAGAATTTCAGAAACTAATTATTATGTTGAGAATCCTATATAATATTGTTAGCAATGCAGTGTACACATTATTGTACTCAACAAGTGGGTACATGCTATTGTGCTCAAAATCATATGAAATTAAAGGAGGCAGGAACTTACACCTAAAAATTACTTTAGTCATATAACACATAAAATGCAATTAATAACCTATTCCCAATTCACTTTATTTCCATTTGTATTTTCTAAACTGTAATTTTTTAACATGATAACAATCCATTAAATAGGCCAAAAACACAAATACTAAAAGAAGTAGAATACTCATGATAACAAATGCCAAAATTCAAAACATTCTGATGTTTAAAGTTGTATGCAGGAAGCAAATATTTTCAGGGACATCCTAGGGCATAATATTTGTTTTGTGGACTCGAATTTATATGTCTTTGATTTACTCAGTGAGAAATGCATACAGCCCTGTGAAGGATAAGTCGACAATAATTCTAAAGAGTGATATAAAAATCCAGAATTATGTAAGATGGAGATTGTCATTAAACTATAAATAAATTAACAATTTCATGTTATATCCAAAAGCTGAAAACTGAAGGTGAGTACTAATCATTAGGTCCATCCTAGACATGGTAATTTGCAAGATTTGGCACATAGAAATGACCCTGTAAGGGTGGGCAAGAGGGTAATATATATATATAAAATGTTATGACAACCCTGCTGCTCCAAAAAGAAAATTTACAGGAGTATTGTATCATTGGGATATCTATTTTTCACTATCCTTTAACAGTTGACTTTCATATTTAGTAGCTAAATAACTCACGCAAAATTGCCAGTAAACTGGAAAATACATTCTCTCTGAAGTCCACAGGGGAAATGATAACTTCGTTTACATCGGGGTGCAACACATCCAATTGAAGCACCATTTTTCTTGCAAATACAGCATTTCTAGAAGAATATATGAAAATAGGGATCACAACATAAAACAAAAAACTGAGTACTATAATATGATCAAGATATAAATAAATACTCCTTGTGGGAAATCTGAAAATTATTTCATCATGTAACAGCTGTGATAATGGTATATTAAATATCCTGAAAAAACTGTTCTACCCCGAAACAATCTCAAGACACTGAAGATTCACTCCTGTAACATTTTTGATAAATTAAACATTTCTAGCCTAATATGTGAATAAGACAGAAAGGCTCTTTTCCTCCCCACTAAAATGTTTTAAACTGAAGCATTTATAAACATAAAAGCTATATACTTGAACAGCTCATTGAAATCTCAAGAGAAAGTACATAAATTAGGCAATACTCACCAAAAAGAATAGGAAAATATTATAGACCAATTTGTAAAAAAAATGGCTAAGATCACTCTTTTCGGATCAAATGAAAAGATGTTAAACACCTGTAGAGAATCAGAGTAGCCCACCCCCTCTGGGTGGGGTCAGCAGCAAGGCTGCTGTGAACTTCGGATGAACTCCAAAGAAGCGAAACCATAATAGGGGCATGAGCATGTCTCAGAGAAGAGCAGTCAGACCTAGCGAAAGATAACCAGCTTTCACTGACTTTGTTCTAAGATTAACTGAAGTATGAGAATTATAACTACAGGCTGTTCTGAGTAACTGCACTCTCCCTCTGCTGTGTGCTTTGTAACATACAAAATAAAGTACTCTGAGGCAGAACGGGGCCAGAGAAATTGATACTTTCACTTTCCCGGACAACCTGGCCCCACTTTTCTCTACGTCTGTCTTTGTGCCTTTCTTCATTTCTCTACCATTCCCTCTTGTCTTTGAACCCTTGTGCAGTGTAGGACACGGCACACGCTAGGGACACCTATAGTTGATTTAGAGTCTTCAAAAAATTATGCTCAGGTCCCAACTCCCAGTACCTATGAATGTGAACTTATTTGGATATAGGGTGTTTGCAGATATAATTAAGTTAAGGATATTGAGATGAGATCATCTTGGATTTAGGTAGTCCTTTAATCAAATAATTGATGTCTTTACAAGAGAAAAAAGAGAGATTTAAGACAGGCATATACAGAGAAAGGTTCATGATGACAGAAACAGATTGGAATACCTGCCACCAGCCAAGGTACTCCAAAGGCTGCCAGCAGCCATCAGAAGCTGGGAGAGAGGCAGGGAATCAATTCTCTCTCAGTGCCTCTAGAAGGAACCAACCTTTCTGACACTTGGATTTAGAATTCCAGCCTTCGGAGCGGTGAGGGAATAAATTATTTTAAAGCAGCAAATTTGTTATGGCAGCCCTAGGAAATGAATATACTAGCAGTGCCTCTAACTGAAAAATAATAGTGGTACATAAACACAAAGATTATTATATGAATCAATCATTAGCAAAATATAGAACAGTACATAAAATGCCTAGGAATCCTTAAAATGGCTATTAAAATGGTCACTGATTCAGGGATTACAGAGTTACTGCTGACCCCTTTGAGTACCACCTAGGTCACTGGAGAATACATGGACAGCCTGAAACTCTCCCAACGAACTGACACAAGGAATTCTAGTTTGAGTTCACAACCACGGCTCTTCTTTTCAAGGGTTCACAATATACATGGAGAGGATTCAGATGTTTTACCAAAACAGGTACAGGTTGAATATCCCTAATCCCAAATTCTAAGATCGAAAGTCCTTCAAAATCAGAAACTCTTTGAATGCCAACATGATGCTCAAAGGAAATGCTCACTGGAATGTTTTGGGTTTTGGATTTTCAGATTAGAGGTGCTCAACTGGTAAGCAAATATTCCTAAATCTGGAAAAAACAAAAACAAAAACAAACAAACCTCAAATCTAAAAGCTTCTGGTTCCAAGCATTTTAGATAGGAGATATTCAATCTGTAGTTCCAAACCATAGGGGGACCTTTAGAGACCACCTTTTACCACAAACTCACCTATCACCAGGAAGTTGAGGAATTACAATATTAATATCTTACATTTAATATCTTGTGCAGTCCTTAGATTCATGCTTTCTCCCAGGGTTTTTCTTTGTGCCCTAGAACCTCTCTTTTCACCATTAACTCTCCTACCTTCTTGATACTGTCAAAAGTAAGTGCCTGCACTTCTTTGCCTCAACTAAAATAAATGTTCCTATGTGCTTTCCTTTTAGACCTTCTTGAATAAAGCTGCTTATTTTTCCATCCTCCTTAATTTCCAGACTTGGTATGGGGTGGGACATGGACAGGGCAGGAAAGGGGACAAAGAACATTATTTTAGTTCTCTGTTCAATACTATAGGCCACTACTCAATTTTCACACTTTGAAAAATCTGGACCTTTAAGCCGAATGACATTTACCCATCTGTTATCTGCTAACTTCCTAGTCACTCCTCCACCTCACGACTTTGGCACCAGTTGAAACAAAGTCTAAACAACTCCAGCATTTATGGGACAATCTTTGACTTTAACTATAACGTGTTGATGCCCTTCATTTCTCCCCCAGTGTAATGATTAATCCCCTCAATATCACCCAAAATGCTCCCCAATAAAAATAATCAATTCTGGTATCACATTCTCTGAACAGAACTCCGTATACTTCCAATAGTCTCATTCTCTCTCATTATTTTTACTCAGACCTTACGGAGACCTTTCCCTGCATATAGCATAGTGGTTATTACATAGAAGATGGCCAAAGTTTAGAATGCCTATCCTAGAAAATAGAAAGGGGCACCGAATATAACCATACAATGTCAGAGAAGTGTCATGAGATATAGAGATCATGAATTACCAGTCTGCATAGCTGTGTAATTTCTAACTCAATCCAGTATTACAACGTAAGCAACTGAGGTATAAGAATAAAAAAGGCCAGGCGCGGTGGCTCACGCCTGTAATCCCAACACATTGGGAGGCTGAGGCAGGCTGATCATCTGAGGGCAGAGGTTCGAGACCAGCCTGGCTAACATGGTAAAACCCCATTTCTACTAAAAATACAAAAAATTAGCAGCACATGGTGGCATGTGCCTGTAATCCCAACTGCTTGAGAGGCTGAGGCAGGAGAATCACTTGAACCTGAGAGGCAGAGGGTGCAGTGAGCCCAGATGGCACCACCATATTCCAGCTTGGGTAACAAGAGCGAAATTCTGTCTCAAAACAACAAAAATACCACCACCACCACCACCACCACCACCACCACCAAAGAATAAAAAAGCAAATGGTTGGGTGGACTCAGGATTGAAGGTTCAAAGGTTTGCAGAACAGCAGAGTGGAGTTACAATCATAATTCTGATAGAGAAGACTGACCATCAGATCTTAATTCTGATGGACAAGTTGAAATAAGATAAAGAAGTGAAGCCAGTATTGTCACATGTATTATCCAGTATTGTCACATGTATTATCCACGTTCAATTAAGCTTTCTTTCAGGGGCAAAAATAGAAACTGTTCTCTTAAGTTTTAAATGACAAAAATATGCACTGACACATATAGTCATAAATTTCTAGTACAGAAACTGACAGAAAATACTTCCCAAGTACTGACAATATTTATGGCATTTAATGTAATAATAAAATAATTTACTTACCAGTTTAGAAGCTCTATTTACTTCCTTCCTGATATCTTCTATTAGAAAACCATAAACTCCTTCTTCTTCTTTACCTCTCTGCCAAATTCCACTTGACATCAACTATGAATATATTCTCAATTAGAAAATAAACTCTATGAAACTAGTTAGGAATTGAAAATACATGTCCATACTATTCAGCCTAATAAAAAATAGATACAAAATGGCCCAAATTTCAAGTAGCTCTCTATAGCAGTTATTTTTCATGGTCAAAGTAAGAGGCTACTCACATTGTTTGATTTAGAAGGCACTATATATTATCAGTTTGTATATCCTAGTTTCTAAAAGTATTGCAGGAAGTAACAAAAAAGAAAGAAAAAGAAAAGAAGATAGGAAGGAAGGAAGGCAGTGAGTGGTTAGGTGGGCTAAATGAAGAAAAAAAGAAAGAACACCTACAATGAAGCTTACAAAGAAGTGGTAAATACAGATGGAGACGATTCAGATTAATTCAGTGATATTTCAGGCTAACTTTAAATCTAGCTAAATTCTGAATCATTAAGGCTAATTTACGAGAAAACCTATTGAATTCTAGTTAACATAAACATATGATTTAAAACAATTTTGTCCTTAATCCCCACTGTGACAGTAATATATGTTTGACTTTTAAAAAATTTGACTTAAGCTTCATTGTTTATATATGTTAAGGAAGCCTGAATCAAGAAAAAATGTAGAATGTGAATAAGAAATCCTGGCTTGCAAATCAGGCTCTGTTGAAACTTCTGAAACGCAAGGCAAATAATTTAAATCTCAGACCTTAAACATGAAAATAAGAACAATGGATTAGATTGTATCTAAGTCCCTTTCTGCTCAAGTATTCTATTACCATTTGTAATATCACTATACTTTTCTGTTCATAATGAAATAGAATATTAAAAGAGTTAAGTCTGGGGTCAGTACTTTTTGAAAAAAGTATTACTGTCATTGAATAAGACAGAACATAATGGAAATTTTGATAGATCAAAATGTATTACGTAATTCAAAAACACTTTGTAAAGCAAATTTGTGATTAGAATTTTAACCAGTATACTGTAGAGAGAAATAAGTGATATACACTAAGAATTTGTTATGAAGCCATGACCTGCAGACAGATAAAATGGCTCTCCTAATTCTACTGCATAAAAAGTATAATAATATAATCTTCCTTTTGTGATTGAAAAAAAGTAAAACAGACTTAGAAAAATGAAAAGATTTTCGTTTTACTGCAAAAGATAATTAGACTCTAACTTATAAACAAATTTGGAATGACAACTTTATGTTCTCTTATAAACAAGCTCCCAGGCCAGTTTACTATTCTATTAACCTATGAGGTACTGAGGCACAAGACTGTAGTCTCAGAGGACCAAGGAATACTTTAGTTGGTTTCTCAAAGAACCATTAAAATAATTATAACATAAATGGTGGTAGATTTAAAAATATGTCCACAATTTGTTGATACTCCTTCAAGAAGTGAGGCTTAATAGCCCTCGAGTGTGGGCCAGACTTAATGATTTGTTTCCAACAGAATTAAGCAAATGTGACATTAGTGTGTGGCTGTGATGACTAGGTCATTTAGTTCCATCATGATTTCTCTCTCTCTTTCTCTCTCTCATCACTTGCTTTCGGGGAAGCCAGATGTCATGTCATGAGTAGTCTTACTAAGAGGCCCAGGAGGTTGAGGTTTCTGGACAACAGCTAGAACAAATCGAGGCCAAAAGCCACATGAGTGTGCCATCAGAGGTAGATGGATCGTCCAGCTTCGTAAAGTCTTCAGCTGTAATCTGACTGACATCTCAACAATAATCTCATGAGACTCTAAGCCCGAACTATCCAGCTCAGCCAAATTCCTGACCCTCAGATACTGTGTGAGATGACAAACATTTGCTAAATTTCACAATAATTTGTTAAGCAGAAGTAGATAACTATATAGCATCAAGAAACACTGTTTGTACTAAAGCAAGCCTGGCATGATAAGGTAATAATGTGCCACTAATACTAAGGCACAGATTCGGTGAGGTGAGAAACTGGAGGAGGGAATGGGGAATAGGGGAGGGACTAATTCTGCATATGAAATCACTCTTTTGCTTTCTTCTGGTAACCCATAAAGTTTCCTTTTGCATAAATCTTTATTACCTTTAGCCAAAACCTTTCTTTCCAGGTTCTATGTGAAATGAAATACTTTTATTCTACTCCCTGAAACTTCAAACAAGTCTTTCCTCAGATTTATCACTGGCAACAAATGAAATAAGAAAGTGGCAATAGAAATGCCTTCCTTATAGACCTAATCATTTTCTTTTTTCACTTAGGCCTTACAGATAAAAAAAAAAAAAAAAAAAAGTAATGATGATAGGTTTTTATATGTACCAAGTAATTTCAGAATCTTAGAATCCAATACACACACAAAAAAATTTTCTATTTTTATAATAGGCAAAATGAGATCAGGAGAAGCTAAATGACTTATCCAGTTCTCAGAAGTCAGTGTTAGAATCTTATTATCTTCTTTAGAACACCAAATATCTAAAATTTAATTATAAATTATACTCACCAAACAATAGTAATGTACAGTGAGATTCCATTTCTCATTAGTTTTCTTTTCTCCATATTTATTAGGACAGTCATCATTTTTTCGACAGAAAACACAAGCTAACAGTGAAAAAGTAAATAGATATAAAAATATATTTAAATTTTCAAAAAAAACTATGGAATTGGTGCTTCTCTCAATTTCTGTGTTAAATTCTTTCTGAGAGAGCAAATCATACTATGTTGATATCAGTAACTTAAAATTTCCAATACCTATTTCTGAAACATTAATATGACTTTATGTTTTTCACCAATTTTTAATGACGAATTCCAGTGTGTAGTTAAAACGGCAATTTGTAAAGTAACATCACTGAAAATAACTGGTTGGGGAACTACAAAACTCCATTCTTTCACTAAAGCAATGATTAAACTGCTAAAAACTGTTAGAATTTACTTTTTAGAAGCTCTGGAATCTAATAAAAAACTTACAAAAATTAGGAGAATGCTTAATGAAGAAACAAAACTACTAATTTTGATGAGAACATTTAACTTACCCACCTACCATTCCCCACTGCCCAGCTGGGCAGTGGTCTTAGGGTGGCCCATGTTCCTGATGCAGATTACTGGTCCAAGAAGGGTAAAATGAAATGGACCTTGTTCTAAAAAAAAAAGTGATTGTTTTGACCTGTATGATGGCTCCCTGAGGGATAAGCTCAGATGCTGCCTTTCTTTTGCCTGCCTCAGAATTCTCTCAGGGCTGGAGCCTCTGCTGTTTGTCAAAAAACTTTTAAAACAAATATACTAGCTGTAGCAACCTAGGGCAAGGGATAACATATAGAGAAAGCAGCAGACAGACTGAAAAGTGAAGAAAAGAAGAAACTGGGAAAAGAGGGTACATAAGGGAATAAAAGTTTGGAAAAGTGCCTACATAATACTGAAGAATCTAGAAGGTCACCTGTATGCCCAAGGGTGTACACATGGTCAGAAACAACCCAAGAAATCCTAAGCTTTCACTTCTGGCTGATCTTTAGGCTCATGCAAGCCTATGTTACAAAAAAAAAAAAAAAAAAAAAAAAAAAAATCTCAAATCAATAACCTAATTTTATACTTTAAAGAACTAGAAAAAAGAAAAAAACTATAGAGGGAATAAAAAAAAAGTTGGTTCTTTTTAAAGATCAACAAAATTGACAAATCTTTAACTAGACTGACCAAAAAAAAAGGGGAGAAGATTAAAAACTTAAAACAAAACTACAGTAAGCAAAACAGTGTGGTACTGACATAAGGATAAATATATAGATCAGTGAAAAAGAAGAGTCCAGAAACAAATTTATACACCTATGGTCAAATGATTTTCAACAACAGTGCCAAGACCATTCGATGGGGAAAGAATAGTCAATTCAATAAATAGTGCTGGGACAACTAGCTAGTTACATGCAAAAGAACATAGATGAACCCTTACCTCACACCACATATACAAATTAATTCAAAACCAGTCAAGGACCTAAACATAAGAGCCAAACAATAAAATTCTTAGAAAAAAGAATAAGGGTAAATCTTTGTGACTTTAGATTTGGCAATGGTTTCTCAGAGTTCACATGACACTAAAAGCAAAGGTAACAAAAGAAAAAAAAGTGATTAACTGGGACTTCATTAAAATTTAAAACTTTTGTGACTTACAGGACACTACTGACCGATGTGGTGGCTCACACCTGTAATCCCAGCACTTTGGAAGGCTGAAGTGGGCAGATCACAGGGTCAGGAGGTTGAAACCAGCATGGCCCACATAGTGAAACCCTGTCTCTAATAAAAAAATATATATACAAAAATTAGCTGGGCATGGTGGCACGTGCCTGTAATCCACAGCTACTCAGGAGGCTAAGGCAGGAGAATTGCTTGAACTTGGGAGGCGGAGGTTGCAGTGAGCTGAGATCATGCCACTGCACTCCAGCCTGGGCAACAGAGCAAGAAAGACTCCATCTCAACAACATCAACAACAACAACAACAAAAAAAAAAAAAAAAAAAAAAAAGAAAGAAAAAGAAAAAAGAAAAAGGACAGACACTCTACAGCATGCAGAAAATGTTTGAAAACTATGTATCTCCCAAGGGTCTAGTAACCAGAATACATTAAAAAACTACTCAACAACAAAATCACCAATGATCCAATTTAAAAATAGGCAAAGGATTTGAATAGACATTTCTCTAAAGAAGATACAAAGAGCGATTAAACACATTAAAAGATGCTTGATAACACTGGTTATCACTTAGAGAAATAAGAAATGTAAATAAAAACCACAGTGAGATACCACTTTACACTCATGAGGATAGCTATAATCAAAATGCCTGACAATAACAAGTGCTAACAAAGATCTGAAAATAAAAAAACATCACACACTGCTGGTGGAAATATAAAATAGTGAAGCGCTTTGGCAAATAGTCCAGTGGGTCCTCAAATTTTAAACAGAGTTACCATATAACACAGCAATTCTATTCCTGGATATACATACCAAATAACTGAAAATAGATGTTCACACAAATACTTATAAACTAATGTTCATAGCAGCACTGTTCACAACAGCCAAGTAGAAACAAACCAAATGTCCATCAAAGGATGGACAAATGGATAAACAAAATATGGTATGCCCATATGACAAAATATTATTCAGCAATAAAAAGGATGAAAGTAGTAATATACATGCTACAGGATGGATAAACCTAGAAATACTATGCTAAGTGAAAGAAGTCAAGCACAAGGAGTCACAATATTACTCAATTTACTTATTTGAGTGGTAATTACTTATGGATTACAGTATCTAAAATAAGTAAATCCACAGGGACATACAAAAAACAGACTAGTGGTTACCAGGGGCTGAGGACAGGGAAAATGAGGAGTGACTACCTAATAGGTACAGGGTTTCCTTTGAGGGTGATTAAAATGTTTTAGAACCAGATGGTGGTGATGGTTTTACAACACTGTAAATGTACTAAATGCCATCAAATTGTACATCTCAAAATAGTTAAAGTGTGAATTTTTTATATCTATTTTATCCACCCCTCCCAACACACACAAATACAACTTGTAGAGTCAGAGAGATCTGAGTTAAGATTCAACTAATGCTTTTTTAGAAAACTGTATATACTTAAAATGTATAACATGATGTTCTGAAATATGTACATATTGTGGACAGCTAAATAGAGCTAATTGTCATATGCATTACTTAAATATTTACCATTTACTTGTGGTGAGAATACTTAAAAACTACTCTTACTAATTTTCAAGTATACAATACATTGTTATTAACTATCGTCACCATGTTGCATAACAGATCTCTTGAACTTATTCTGCCAGTCTATTATAAAATTTTGTATCCCCTGACCAACATCTCCCAACCTTCCCAGCCGTTGGTAACCATCATTATACTCTGTTCTCACCATGTTGCTTAACAGATCTCTTGAACTTATTCTGCCAGTTTATTATAAAATTTTGTATCCCCTGACCAACATCTCCCAACCTTCCCAGCTGTTGGTAACCATCATTATACTCTGTTCTATAAGTCTGACTTTTTTTATATTCCACACATAAGTGAGATTATGCAGTATTGTCTTTCTGGGACTAGCTTATTTCACTAGTGCTTTATGATTCAATTTCCTCATCATAAAAATGAGGATAATAGTACCTGCCTGAAACTATGCATTAGTGAGGACTAAGACAGTGTATATTAAAATAATTAACAGGATATGACATACAGATAGAACTGAATGTTAGTATAATAACAACTAATCTTTTCTGTTATATGTTTATTTGTACAGAAAAGTTAAGATGCTAATGAAACAAGTAGAAAATCACTAGCTGAAAAGAAAAGACAGGACTCCTAAGCAGCAGATCCCTACAGGATGAAGGGTGCCTGCATCTCTAAATGATTACATGCAGCAAACTCCCTAACTGCCCCGTCTTCCTTAACCCAGGAACACTGGACTGTAACCTGACCAAGTAATAAACTTTTATTGTTTTAAATCATTAAGACTTCAGCATTTACCAGTTATGGAAACTAGTATTATTTATCTTAAATAATTCATGTAATCAAGAATGGATGTTACATGTTAAAAGGTGCTATATTTGTTAACAGGCTGCTCACCAAATAAATTCTGGAACTGAAAAGAAATAGCATGATCTTGTATTTAATAGAGTGAAATATCCTAACTATTCTGCCCTCCTTTACTCCAGTTTAAAGGGATAAATCATAACTCAAAGTCTCTCTCCTAACCCTTTAAAAGATATCAGCTCCTCTTCCTTCCCTTCCATACAAGAGAGCTGTTCACATTAACTCCAATAAATTGACATTTGCTCTGGACATCCTACTCCAGCAGCTCCACCTTAACTCCATCCACAATACCTACACTTTTACCTATTAGTGTGCATAAAACTCAAGAGAAACAGGATTATGTAGAATTAGCTGATTCCACAAAAGAGGAGTCCTTGTGAATTGGCTGAAACTATACAAGAGGGGAAATTCTTGCCATGAACCCTGGATGGAGGTGCACCTGCTGTATGCTGTGGACCTGTGGTTTTCCATTTGTTGCTCTCTTACCCTGTCTCCCTCTATCCACTATGGAGGGCACTGAATGTAGAACAGAGTAGGTTTCAAGCATGTATTTTTATAAGTAGATTATTTTTATATTCATTTGCACCTTGCTGCTTTTAAGTTTTAACGTTTAAAATTTAGAATTGTGCTCATTTCATTATATTTAAGATTCCCATCTAGAGTAGTAATCGACACTGGTTTCTATAATGAAGTAAAAGTTTCCACCTTAAATACACTAATGTAAGCAAAGTAACAGCCAATCTTAGGAAAAAGTATCAATAGTAGGTGAGTATTTGCATTCGGCAAATGCATAGAGATAGCCCATGAAGTACTAGAAGTTTCAGAACTACTAGCAATAATTGATAGAAGTCTGGAGGTAGAAGCAGGGAAGGAAAGTAGAAGAGGTTTAGGAGCACAAATTTCCTTGTACAACGTAATCTGGTGTTAAGACACTCTAAAAATAATGGTCAAGATACAGTTTTAAGTTTAATATTTCAATTTTAGAGGGAATCAAAAAAGCTCTAAAATACAGTGGATGAAGGCAAAGTAGTGGCAGAAGAGTATAAAGTAATCATTTAAATTCTTCATCTTTCATGGTAGCAAGTCAATGGATACTGTTTATAACTAACAAATGAAGAAAACAACAACTAAAAGCAAAGGTCAAAAGGGACTGCATCTACTGGGAGAGACTGTTATGGGCAGGTAGAAGTGTTTTCCTCTCCTTCTCCCTCTGTCCCTCTCTCCCTTCCCTCTTGCTCTGTTGCTTAGGCTGAAGTGCAGTGGTGTGATCTCTGCTCACTGCAACCTCTGCCTCCTGGGTTCAAGCGATTCTCTTGCCTCAGCCTACCAAGTAGCTGCGCCTCCTGGCTAATTTTTCTATTTTTAGTAGTGATGAGGTTTGTCACATTGGCCAGGCTGGTCTCAAACTACTGACCTCAAGTGATTTGCCTGCTTTAGCCTCTCTAAAGTGCTGGGATTACAGGTGTGAACCACCACACCTGGCCAGTTTTCCTTTTCATGTTAAGCTTTTATGCATTATTTAAATTGTTCTCACCTGCATTTTTTCCTTTAAGTAATTATTTTATTCAGATATAAACCATAACTGATAAACATATATATAATAGAAATAAAATTTGGCAAATAAATTGCCTTCTGATAGGATTTTGTTGAAATTCATATATGCAGTATTACGCTTTAGTACGTGGACATACAAACTAAGGATGTGCCAGGGAATTCATTCCTCTTCATTCCTATTGTTTGAGTAACGTCCTAAAAAGACTTAAATTGTAATAAAATTATTTTAAATACAGTTACTTACCAAGGTTCTGTGAGTCACCAGGTTTATTTTCATTCATTTTACTATAAAAAAATAACATAATACAGTCACCTTAATTGTAGAAGTCTCAAATTAACACCTTTTATTAAATGCATTCAATGCATAATGACAAGTAAGTCATATAATACTCCAGTACTTAAATTTTCTTACCTTTAATACATCTAAGACCAGTAGTTCTCGATGAGGGTGTTAGAGTCTGGGAACATTTTTTAAATTGAAGGGAATGTTTTTCAGTTGTCAAAACAATTAAGATGACGACCGGTATTTAGTGGAAAGAGACCAGGATTACAGGTCATCTTGCAATGCACCAAATAGTCCTACATGACAAATGATAGTCTAGACTTTCAAATTTCCATCTGGACAGTCAAGTAGGTCAAAAAAATCTACTTGTAATTATCTTAACCTAGAATTTAAGCCCATTTTATACATTAACAAATTGTATTTCCAGAACTACAACTCCTATTTTAATCAAGGAATTTCTATTTAATTTTTACCCAAAGCTTTACCCAGAATTGTTCATCATTTAGGGGGGAGAAACAAGCACATCATCAATAGCAATGTCATTTGCATTTGTATAGCCTATAAAACAATCCTTTATTAGTCTACACCATGTTTGTGGCTGTTGCATTTACTGAGATTCTATACAGGTCTGCAAGCACTTGACTGTCTCATTACCTTTTCTAGTACAGTAGTGCTCAACCACTTACATGCTTTTGAAAGACACTGGTCCCTATCTCCTCCCTCCCCACTAGTTAAACAAATAAAACTACTTAAAATCATTGCTTTTTTCTAAAAGATCAAATAAAGGAAGACCAACATCTTAATAACATCAAGGTTTCACTTCACCAAGGGTGTATGAACAGCCTACTAGACATGTTAATGAGATTTAAGTAAAATGTACATGCCGTCTCTTGGAATTTAAGCAGAAAAGAATAAACATAATAATGCAACTAGGTAAATATAATCTCATTAATAGCTGCAAAAACTACTTTTCAGAAAGGTTAAACACCTGTCCAAGGTCACAGAGTTAAGTAGGAATAGGCTAACCCATAACCGAGTGATTACAGGCTATACCATGGGCACTTCACATGAAAATAATGAAAGAGCACACAAAAAAAATACAGAATATTATATATCAAAGAGCAAAAACTACAAATAAAAATTGCTGTCAGATTTCGTCAAACCTAAGACACCACAAAATGTAGGGCATAGATTATTTCATGAAGACTGATTAACCAAATTAAACTTATACAATGCTTCCTTACAATTAGAATTTATCTTTCATATTATTAAAGATGTTTTGGATTTAAACATAAGATTTGCTCATACACATTTCTGTGCTTTCCTAAAGTCACAGTCCAAACCTCTTTAACGGTTCTGACTTTAAACCTTGAACATTTTGTTTATTCCTTACAAAATCATATTGCATGCCATCAAGATTGGTATTCTTAAAAAATATATATATAACAACTAAGAGCCTAGTTTTAAGGGGGCTTTGTAATTAAGTAGGTCTAGACTACTATTTTTCCTAGCTCCTCTTCACAACCATCAATGTAGGGTTAAAGGAACACTCCTATATTGTCTCTTGGATTTTTTTTTTTTCTTTACTTTTCTTTCTTTTGGAGGCACTGTTATTACTCTACAGGTATATGATGGCACTTCTGATATTTATACATGCTCAAACAATAACTACAGAACTGCCTTAAGTGAACAAATTGATTGAGATCACAACCTACAGAACATAGTTTTAAACATACTGATACATCTGAGATCACTAGTTCTCAATAAAACTCAGAAACAGATTCATATTTTTCCAGTCATTTTCAACAAAGACAATAAAGCAATTCAACAAGGGAAAATAAAATATTTTAAACAAATGGTACTAGAAAAACTGAATATCCATATGGTAAGAAGTGTGTGTGTAGAAGGGGTGAGTCCATCTTAAAATTGACAAAATAGAAGATAAAATGCCTCTTCTTAAAGGACTTCTCTACAATTCAGCCTGTGGTGATGAATTCAACATATCATAAATCCATCCATATACATGCATTCATTGCAGAAAATTCCATAAATACATAATAAATAGCACTTCACTTAGAGTAAACATAAAGAATTTAATGTATAAGTGAATGGATATGGATACTTGTCAAAAGGTATTCTGAGCATCCTCCACGGCTTACTTCTAACTGATCAGTCAGTAATACTCACAGTTTGACACTTCTCCCTTCAGAAGGTAGACAGAAGGTAGAGCCTCCCCCTCTCCTTTATTGTAGATGTGCTCAGTGCTTGCTAACTTGCATCAACCAAAAAGACTGTAGCAGAAATGACAACGTCATAAAAGGCACTGTGACTTATTCCTCACTTACCATGGATTACATGCTATGGAGGAAGTCAGTTGCCATGCCATAAAAATTTTCAATATACACCATAGAGACACCCAGTTGGTAAGGAATGGAGGTATTCTACCCTCTGTCATGTGAATAAGCCATGTTAGAAGTGAATCCTCCAGCCCCAATCAAGTCTTCATATAACTGCAACTTGGCTAACAGCCTAACAGCAATTTTATAGGAGATCCTAAGCCAGAACCACACAGCTAAGCTGCTCGCAAATCCCTGACCAACAGAAACTATCAGTAATTAGATGTTTATTGTTTAAAAACAGCAAGTTCTGGAGTTATTTGCCACACAGCATCAGAACACTAATACAAGAAAGTAAGTCAAATTCCTTCTCATTCCAGCTGGTGGCTAACATTTGAATAAATAAATGGGTTCTAACCATCCAACATTTTCTAAAGTGCCTAATCTTACTGAAATAAAAGGTGACATTGAATACAGAGAAAACATGCTGGAATCAGTAACTTGAAAGAGAAATAGATTTTTTTAATCTAGCATTTAAAAAAATGAATATTCTTGCTATAGAAATGACTTGATTTAAATCACTAATCGGAAAGGTTCAACTTAGTCTATGCATTATTCGATGTACTCTAAATTCTTTCTCTTTACAATTCAGAAATGTTATCTTTGGATGCCCTATATATAGTAAAGAATTAATTTATCTGATTCAGCACTGCATAATAAAACATGATGTTTGTCAGATGCATAGTTTGCAAAAATATTTTCTCCCATTCTGCAGGTTGTCTGTTTACTCTGTTGGTAGTTTCTTTTGCTGTGCAGAAGCTCTTAAGTTTAATTAGATCCCACTTGTCAATTTTTGCTTTTGTTGTGATTGGTTTTGGAGTCTTTGTCATGAAATCTTTGCCCATGTCTATGTCCAGGATGATATCACCTAGGTAGTCTTCCAGGGTTTTTATAGTTTTGGGTTTTACATTTGTCTTTAATCCGTCTTGAGTTGGTTTTTGTGTATGGTGTTAAGGAAGGTATCCAGCTTCAATTTTCTGCATATGGGCTAGCAAGTTATCCCAGCATCATTTAATAAATAGGGAGTTTTTCCCTATTGCTTTTTTGTCAGCTTTGTCGAAGGTCAGAAAGTTGCAGATGTGCGGTCTCATTTCTGGATTCTCTATTCTGTTCTGCTGGTCTATGTGCCTGTTTTTGTGCCAGTACCATGCTGTTTTGGTTACTGTAGCCTTGTAGTATAGTTTAAAGACAGGTAATGGGATGCCTCCAGCTTTGTTCTTTTTGCTTAGGATTGCCTTGGCTGTTTGGGCTCTTTTTTGGTTCCATATGAATTTTAAAATAGCTTTTTCTAGTTTTGTGAAGAATGTTGCTGGTAGTTTGATAGGAATAGCAGTGAATCTGTAAATTGTTTTGGGCAGTATAGCCATTTTGATATTGATTCTTCGTATCCATGAGCATGGGATGTTTTTCCATTTGTTTATGTTTTCTCTGATTTCTTTGAGCAGTGCTTTTTAATTCTCATTGTAGAAATCTTTCACCTCCCTGGTTAGCTGTATTCCTAGGTATTTTATTCTTTTTGTGGCCATTGTGAATGGGAGTCACCTTTCTGATTTGGCTCTCAGTTTAGCTGTTTTGGGTGTATAGGAATGCTAGTGATTTTTCTATGTTGATTTTGCATCTTGCAACTTTGATGAAGTTGTTTATCAGCGGGAAAAGCTTTTAGACCAAGACTAAAGGGTTTACTAGATATAGAATCATGTCATCTACAAAGAGATAGTTTGACTTTCTCTCTTTCTATTTGGATGCCCTTTATTTCTTTCTTTTGCCTGATTGCTCTGGCTAGGCCTTCCAATACTATGTTGAATAGTAGTGACAGAGGGTATCTTTGTCTTGTGTTGGTTTTCAAGAGGAATGCTTCTAGCTTTTACCCATTCAGTATAATGTTGGCTGCTGGTTTGACACATGTGGCTCCTATTATATTGAGGTTTGTTCCTTCAATACCTAGTTTGTTGAGAATAGCATGAAAAGATGTTGAATTTTATCAAAACCATTTATAATGAACTTTAATGTACAAGAGAAAAATAAACCTCCCCATTAAAAAGTGGCCAAAGGGCGTAAACAGACACTTCTCACTAAGATATTGGCCAACAAGCATATGAAAAAAAGCTCAATGTCACTAAATATTAGAGAAATGCAAATCAAAACCACAATGAGATACCATCTCATGCCAGTCAGAATGCCTATTATCACAAAGTTAAAAAAAAATAACAGGTGCGAGTAAGATCGTGAAAAAAAAAGGAAACATATGCTGTTGGTGGGAGTGTAAATTAGTTTAACCATTGTGGAAAGCAGTAAAAACCATTTTACCCAGCAATCCTGTTACTGGGTATATAGCCAGAGGACTCTAAATCATTATACCATAAAGACACATGCAGACGTATGGTCACTGCAGCACTATTCACAATAGCAAAGACATGGAATCAGCCTAAATGCCCATCAATGACAGACTGGATAAAGAAAATGTGGTACATACACACCATAAAATATTGTGCAGCCATAAAAAAGAATAAGATCATGTTTTTTGCAGGAACATGGATGGAGGCGGAGGCTAATATCCTTAGCAAACTAACGCAAGAACAGAAAACCAAATACCGCATGTTCTCACT